ACTGAGTTTTCTTGGTTAACTTGGTGACATGTAAATCTCCCCTCCAAAATTAGTGCATAGATATTCTTACCATAGCTTATTGTATGATTAGTCAGTCTTGTTCTCACACTAACAAATCAGGGGAAATTGTTACCAGCATCCAAAAAATTCAACAAATTACAGCAGAAACACGGCTACCTCCCCTTGGTGACCCCTGGTGGAATCCGTCTTCTTGGTTCACTTGGCTACAAGGAAATGACCTGTTAGCCACCCCTGGTAAATGGGCCTTATTGCTCTCTGCCTTATGATCCTGCTTAGACTTTGTATGAGCTGCCATGTTAAAGCCTGTTCCAAACTTCATCAGAAAGGCTGATGTTAGCATGTACTCCTACTATTCACTATATTTTTAAAATCTTAAAGAATTAGCTTATAAGTGATCTAAGGGAGATTGAAAGAGGGGAATTGAAAATTGAGAAAATCAAATTGATTCTATTCTATAATTGGTTTAATTTTCTAGCACTACTGATATTTTAATTATCTAAGTTACATTTCATTAAAACTTCAGTTTTCCTGTAAATCATACATTGTCTCCGAGTTAAAGTTAGAAGTTCCATTTTCCTGCTAACCACTGTTTGGTTCTGGTATGAAGGAAATCTGTTATCTTTGAAGGATACAGGTGGGTCCCAGAGAGTTTGGTCTCTGCAACTCTGGCTGTCCTTGAGATAAGTCTGGTCTGGTATCACTATGACTAGCCATGCAGGTGGACACCACCAAGGACCTTTCCATAGCAACAAGACAGAAGCAGAGGCTGTTTCTAGCCCTGCATTCCAGATTTCCAGGCAATTATATCATCCTCTATATCTATGTTGCTTCTGACATTTTGTCCATAAAATGATCTGTCAGCCTTTAATCAGAGTCTTTCAGCTTTCTGAGGAGCTGGGAGACCCTTTTTATTGCTAACTGTTAGCCTTACCAATCAATTGATTGTGCTCAGAGCTTTGTGCCTCAGTTTACCTTAATTTCAATCATGACAATATGAAGCATATTAATATTGAGACACAGGTTGTGCCAGGAAGGCACCAGATGGTGAATTGTGGAAACAAAATCTTGGGGTCTCAGCTCCATAGAGAAATGAAGATGAATGCAGAAGTTAGCTAGAAATGTGCTAGATCTCTAAATGTATAAGGTATTCATTGGTAAGGGATGAGGACTAGTCCTGTGGCTTCACTGGCCTGGAGAGATCCAGGATGAGGAAACTCCCTTTGCCAATGGGGGCTGGCACCTTCTACAGCTGATAGCAATTGCTACCTCTGCAGTGCAGATGAAGGATTGCGTCCAGGGTCCATGGTGGGGGCAGGGGCAGGCAGGAGCCCAAGGCTTCCTGGCTGTAGGGCTATTCTCTATCCCTGGGCCACACTGTGCCTCTCAGTGGTAATCCAAACTGAATAGCCTGCATACAAATTCTAGATATCAGAAAACAATAAAGTTTTTACACGTGTGATAAGATAGAATTTTGTTTAATTTCATAAAACTTGGATTGTTTGACTCTCTTCTCTTGACCTCATTCTGGACATCCCTGAAGCAGAACAATATCGACTCTTAGGAGCTGACAGTACAGGATATAACCTTCTAGATAAATACCCCGTTCCCAAGTTGTAACTTGACAGAGTGAGGTGATTTCTAGAACTTTCCAGAACTTCCATAAAGAATCCCATCCCCCCCATGGGAGTACATTAGACCCAGTCTCCTTGTCTCAAACTGGGACATTGGGTTGACAGAAGTCTCTCCGTCAGACCATTATCCTCCAAACAGCTGTTTTAATATTTGCTCATTTTTAACAAATGTTTCTAATAGCTCCAATCACTGAACCCAGTGTATTTGCTTGAATAACTCTAACCCAGGGATTCCTGAGTCCCCACAACAGCCCTGAATCTACGACCAAGGCCAAGGCTGTGTCCTATCTTTGGATTATCTGTAAATCTGAGAAGTCATTGATAAAAATGTCAAGTATCGGACAATGAAGCTCAGAGCCCTGCTCTAATTTCATTTTCTTCCCTTCCCAATCCCAATCCCACAGCTAATCAATTCACCTATCCAGCGTGGTCCTCTATTGTCAGATCCCTCCCCCCTCATCCTCTCATCTCTTAGCTCTAGCCAAACCTCACACCCCAGATTATTCCTACCACGGGTCTCCTCCACTCAGATGGAATGAAGTGGAAGAGCTCACAGCCATCTAGCTGAGAACTGACCTGAATTAAACAGGAGGTAGCCAGGTGGGCAAAATTAAAGTCTTTAGTGGGGCAAGTGAGTTGCAGCTTAGGGTGCCAAGAGGTACCCGAAGAGGGTGCTGGATGCGGGGCTCTTATAAAGCATTTAGGCCCAGGGGAGAGGGGCTGCAGGTGCAAGGGGGTTGGGACATTCCAGGATTTTACAAGGTAAGCTGTTTTGCATAACTACTGAAAGTTCCTAGAGAAAGCTAGGGAATCCTGGAGAGAGAGTTTGGGACTTTTACAGAACAATCAGAAGCTGGGAGTGACAACGTCTGGTCAGCCCCAGACCATTCATGGGTCTGGGAATTCAGACAAGGGCAGCTTCAGGCAGCCCAGTTTGATGAACAGGAGAAATTCAAGTTATCCAGTCTCACCTAGGCCCCGAAAGCAGCCATGTAAAGCTTTGGGTCCTCCCTGATTCCCTGCACTATCCCCATAGAAATTATTCTAAAACTCTCCTCAAGCCTCCCATACTTTCTCATCCCCACTCCCTCAGCCGAGGACTCTTCCTTCCCTGGTAGAACTGAGGCCATGCACCATGAACAGCCTGTCTACCCCCTCGAAATACCCCCACGCCCACCCAGCCAGCTCTCCTTCCCTGGTAGAACTGAGGCCATGCACCATGAACACCCCGTCTACCCCCTCGAAATACCCCCACGCCCACCCAGCCAGCTCTCCTGCCTAGTTTCTGACAATCAGGTCTTCCTCCTCTGCCAGAGGCCACCTGTCTACCGGTGTCAAGAACCTATCCACATCGCCAGACTGCAATTGCAAACTTACATTGTCCTCTCTCTTTCCATGCCACCATTCCTTCCTCCTTTCTTTCTCCCTCTCTTTTTCTCTCATCTTCAATATCTTCTTATCAAGTAGCTCTCCAGTAACATCCAGCATGTCCATACTCCCCCTTCCTTAAAAAACCTTCGCTGGACCTTGCAATGCCCTCAAGCCTTCATCCTCTATCTTTCCTCCCCAAAATCCAGAAAGAGCTGTCTGGCCCGGTAGCCTCCCTCTCCCCTCCTTTCCCTCCTCAGCCGCTTGTCATGAGGTTGGTGACCTCATCTCTCCAGTGGTTACCTGCTCTCTCACCTGCCCAGCCTGAGGGTCTTTCCTCAGTCCAGATTCTCTGCTGCCCCTCTGAATGCCCTTTCCCCTCGGGCTTTTTTGGGTATTCCTCTCCCTACCTGGAGGAGACGCCTCTCCTTATCTCCTTTGTAGGCGCCTCATCCATATTACTGCCCCTCCCTGGGGGGTTCCCCAGGCTCCAGTCTGGGTGTCTCCTTTCTCCAGTCTCCCTAGCAGGACCTAATCTACTCCTGTGGGTTTCTCTTTTCTTTGTAAACGACTCATAGATTTACAGATCCTGACCCTGGGTCTCCCCTAATTTTAGCTCCACATCACCAACTGCCTACATACGTCCTGTAGGCATCTCAACCTCCCCGTGTCTCATTCATGACCTTTTCCTCCACATCTCTTGCCATGTCCTTGTTTTTCTCTAAGGTGCAGCCATTCTTCCATTGTCCCAGGTTAGTAAACTCGAAGTGGTTCCCCACTGCTCCCTCTCCTTTTCCTGCCAGGTCTCCCTATGGCTCCCTCTCTCTGCTGGGCCACCAGCTGTCCAAGTGGTCTCTGGGCCCCAAGGCTCTCCTCGGATGGTCCAGGCCAGAGCGATTTCCCTAAGCACAACTCTAACCCAGTGCCTCCCCACCTCAATAAACCCTGCGGGGTCCCTTGGGCCCCAAGTATAAAAGGGCTTTTGAACTAGCCTGGCAGTGGGGCTATGTTGGCTTTCTTTCTGTTCCTCATGTGAGTGTGTCTGTCTCCCACCTTCATGCCTTCCCAAGTCCAGAGGCCTCTGCCCACTCGTCCGGAGGTGCAGATGTAGCCCCAGGGGTCTGGATGAGCCGAATCGGGGCGTGCCCCCCCCACATGCCGAGAAGGTCCGCGCTGCCCCCACATGCTGAGATGGCCTGTACCCCCACCCACATGCTGAGATAGGCCGTGACCCCACTCACATCCTGAGATGGGCTGTATCCCCCACCCTCGTGCCGAGCCGGGCCGCCCCCCCCCCCGCGTGCGTGGGCCAACCTCTCCCGTGGAGCCCTCCCCGCGCCTGGGCTTGGGCGGTTTGCCCCTCCTTGCTGACCCCGGGACGGCTGCCCACCACCCCGAGGGCACGGACCCCCCAGGAGCCCAACTCCGGGCAACCACGGCATCCTGACCCGCCTTCTCAGCACTAGCTTCTGAGGCCGCCAGGTGGTGCATCAGCGAGCGGTGACCCCGGCCGCGTCACTCGGCCGCTGCCTGCCTCAGTTTCCCCATCTGTAAAAGGCGGCCAACCCCAGCAGCCCGTTCCCAGGTTGTTGCGAGGGCGCCCCCGCGGCCCTTAGAGCGCTGGCCACGGCCGGCACGGAGGGGACACTTTCTTTGGACAAATCTTTCTAAATGAAGAAGGGCCCAGAACGGGAAAAAAAAGCCCGATTTCCTTTTAATACTGTGGACCCGCTCAGTAGGGTAATCCCACAGGCAGGGCCGAAGCCCGGCTCGGGCTGATTCCCGGCCTGAGCCCCTAGCCCGCTCTGGGCCGGATCCGATAGGGGAGGAGGGTGGGGGGAGGGGTTGTAAGGTTCCGTGCGCGCAGGCGCAGGCAAGACCGGGACAGCCTTGTGAACTTGAACGGTGGGGCATGCTGGGCGTTGTAGTTCGGGAGCCTCCGGCGCGCAGGCGCACTGCGCCTCCGGGCTGGGCGTTCTGGCCTTTGTCCGCGGGGCTGCGGAAGGTGAAGCCGGAGCCGGAGCGCGCGTGGGCGTGGGGGCGGGGGCAGGTGCATGTGGGGCCCCTAGTGTACGGCTGCTGGACTACGGAGGCGTGGGTGAGTGGGCGTTCTGCGGGAGTACGCTGGATCGTGGCCGCTGTTGTGCGTGAGTGTGCGTGTGTCAGGGCTCGCGAGTGTGCATGCGCGTGATTGCACTCGTGCGTGGCTGTGCACACGTGCACTTGCCTGTCTGCCCTTGGGCACGTGCGTGAGTGTGCGTGGGTTGCACTGGTGAGTGCCTGTGCATCAGTGCGTGTGCGTGGCATCCCCACAGCACTTGGGGGGGTGAGTCTGTGCGTGCGGAGTTGTGTGAGAGTGTGCAAGGAGGCTCTACCCTCAACGTGTGTGAGCCACGGAGGGAGCGTGAGCATCCTTTGGGAGCAGCGCTAGGTCATGCCCCCTCGTAGTCTGGGAGCTTAGAATGAAACTTGTTCCAGTGCTGCCTTAGGACCGACCCCCCACATATGGTGTCACCTCCAGACCCGCGCCCCCCACCCCCAAGCCCAGGCTGAGCTTTTTGACCCCCAGGGATCTTCGGTGGGCTGGGTGGCTCATCGGGGCAGCGCCCAGCATCTGGCGAGGGGATGGGGAGAGGGCAAGGAGGGGACCTGGGGAGGGCTCTCGAACTAAGAGATCTGCAGCTGGGGTGGGGTGGGGGGGGGAATTGGGGTGGGGCAGCCCAGGTGTGGGAAGTTCCCGCGGTCTGGGGAGGTTGCAGGGGAGCGGTCTGGAGCTGAGAGATCTGCAGCTGGGGGGTGGGGCAGCCCAGATGTGGGAAGCTCCCACTGTCTGGGGAGGATGGAGGGGAGGGCAGAGGGGCACCTGGGGAGGGGAGGGAAGGGTCTGGAGCTGAGAGATCTGCAGCTGGGGGGTGGGGCAGCCCAGGTGTGGGAAGCTCCCTCTGCCTGGGGAGGATGGAGGGGAGGGCAGAGGGGCTCCTGGGGAGGGGAAGGAAGGGTCTGGAGCCGAGAGATCTGCAGCTGGGGGGTGGGGCAGCCCAGGTGTGGGAAGCTCCCTCTGCCTGGGGAGGATGGAGGGGAGGGGAGAAGGGCACCTGGGGAGGAGAGAGAGGGGTTTGGAGCCGAGAGATCTGCAGCTGGGGGGTGGGGCAGCCCAGGTGTGGGAAGCTCCCTCTGCCTGGGGAGGATGGAGGGGAGGGGAGAAGGGCACCTGGGGAGGAGAGAGAGGGGTTTGGAGCCGAGAGATCTGCAGCTGGGGGGTGGGGCAGCCCAGGTGTGGGAAGCTCCCACTGTCTGGGGAGGATGGGAGAGAGCACAGAGGCACTTGGGGAGGAATGGGAGGGAGGACAGAGGGGCACCTGGGAAAGAGAGGGAGAGGTCTGGAGCTGAAAGATCTGCAGCTGGGGGTTTTGGGGTGTGGGGAACCCCAGCTGCTAGGGAAAGGCCCCTGGGCTAGCTATGTGGCACCAGGCCTGGGGAAGGGTAGCCCCACCTGCCTCAAGCAGGAGCCTGGGCCAGCCAGCTGGCCACTGCAGGCGGTGCAGTGTGGGGGCTGTTGGGGTCTCTGGCCTTTCCTTCCAGGGATCCTTTCCTCATTGCCCCCTGGGGATCGGCGGCCTCCTCTTCCTCCTTACCTCTAGCGTCACACTGTCACCCCCGCTCTTCCTTCTAAACTCTGTGCTCTAGTGGGCCTATATTTTTTCTTTCTTTTCTGGCTCCTCGGTACTGATGGTATTGTTCTAGATGTGAGGCGGCCCAAGTGCTCTTTCCCTCAAGCCCCGCAAGAACCCTGGGAGATAGCTGTTGTTATCACCTCCATTTGAAAGATGAAGAAGCCTGCTACTGAGAGTCCAAGAGCTGGGGCTTCCCTGGGCAGCTCCTGTCCCCTCCGTGGGGGCTCACTCACTCTGCTTTCCCTCCTCCCTCCACCTCTAGTTTAAGAAGTCCTGCAGTGTAGAGAAGGATAAGCTAGTGTTGTTGTTGTTATTATTATTGTCTAGCGTCCCTGTATGCAGGCATATGTGTGTGTGTGTGTGTGTGTGTGTGTGTGTGTGTGTGTGTGTGTGTAAGCGCACAGTCATGCTCAGGGGTGTGTATTGGTGGGGCCTCTGGCCATGCTCAGGGCTGGCCTTCCAGGTTGCTCAGCCCATGGGATCGATTCTCCCGGGCATTGAAAGGTGTGTCTATTTTCTCCAGACCTCCTCAGACTGTTTTGATCAGAAGTCTCTAGGACATGCTTGGAGCTGCTTCGGCAGCCCTTCCCCCTTGCTTCCTGCAGAGTCGGGCACACAGTGGGTTTTCGTGAGACCTTTATTGAATGAAGGTCCTTCAGGACTGCTTTGTTTGCCCTGGGCCCCTGGCATCTGGCTGGAGCTTCTGGGCCCTCCTGCAGGTGCTGTTTTCTGCTGGGGAGGCAGTGATCCAAGCCCCAGAGTGGAGGGAGGCCCCATCCCAAGTGACCCCACTTTGGTACCTCCAGGTCCCAGCTCTGCAGCAAGAAGGAAGTGAAGACTGACTGGCTGTGACCCTCTGCCCAGAGCTCCAGGCCCGAGCAAGGGAGGGAGCAGATCGGGAGCCTTGCACCATCCTGGCTGGGGGTTCTGGCCAAGCAGCAGGGAGGATGGACCACTTCTTCCTAATGCTCGAGGGGAGAGGTGAGAGTGAGGGGCCCAGGGCTGGCAGGGGAGGAGTGGTGGGGGAGGGGAATCTCCCCAGGGAAGAGTCCTCTCCCTACAGCTGGTCGGTGTCTTTTTCTGTTCTCCCGACTCCTTCTGGCTCAGTCAGCATGTATTAAGCACCTGCTGTGTGCTTGACACTGTGCTGGGCCCTTGAGGTACAAAGATGAAGGTGACGGGCCCTCAAGGATCTTCCATTCTGCCAGGGAGGGGCAGCTCTGGTCCAGATCCAGCATAGAGCTGCCTGTGGGAAAGACCTTGGCACCTCTATGCCCAGCTCTCCATCCTTGGTGACGACGGAGCCGAGCTCCCCGCCCTCCCGCTTGTACAGCATGTGTCTGGCACCCACTCATTTGTGGAGTTTAAACTGCCCTCTGCAGCAGGGACGGTATCCCCTGAACCCAGCCAGTAGCGGGCCCACAGTGGACAATCACAGATGCTTCAGGGACCCCGAGCGGGTCGTCCCAAGGATTGGAAATGCCCTTTCCCACCGTCTGTGTGAAAGAGAGCTTTAGAGAAGCCTGCCTTGGCCCGTGTCAGTGGTGGAGAGAGTAGCTATGTGCACTAGAAGATGGAGCAGCAGCACACGGGACAGCCAGGGAGGAGTGGGGGCCTAGCAGGACAGAACAGGGTTCCCTGAGAGTCGGCTGAGGTGCCTCTTCTGCATGGAGCGGCTGCTGGTGCCCTTTCCCCCCCAGTTGCCTTGGGTCTGCGTAGATGTACATGTGTACATATGCCACGTTGTCTTTGAGTCCCCAGCACACGGGGAGCGCTTCATGCAATCCCAGAGACGTCTCTGTGGATTGGATGAGGAACACGGCACCCTCTAGAGCGGCCGGGTGCCCTGGTCAGTCCACACACCTCGAGGGTAGGTGTGGATGCCATAGTTTGGGAAGGACACTGATAGGTGCGGTAGGGGCAGCCAGGATGGATAGCCAGGAGAGTCTGTTGGGAAAATGGGCGTTTGGTCTGGAGAGGAGAGGACCGTAGGGGGACGTAGGCTGATTGGCTTCATGCCAGACGGGTTTGCTAATTCTGCTTGGGCCTCACCCCCGGTGACTCCTGCCTCTGCCTCCAGTCCACCTCATCTCCCCACTTAGGAGGGCAGGGAGCTTCCATTCTTTGTACCTGAGTCCTGAACGCCTTGCCCAGCACCTGGCGCACAGCAGGTCCTTAATACATCTTCGCCGAGGTGTTGATAGGAGCAGCAGATGTGCACGGAGTCTTGGTGGGAGGCGGAGCTGCCTCACCCAGAAGCATGGGCCAGAGCGAGCTTCTCCCTGCATGAGAGGCTTCTGGCAGCTTGTAGAGGGGAATCTTCTTCAGGTACAGGGGATCACGGGTTCGAGGACTGTGTGAACTTGGGAAGTGGAGGGCCTCGGGATCTGGCTCTCTGCTCATCGGTCCTTTCATGGCTTGGATAAAAGCATCGTGGCAGGCTGGTCAGTCTTGGTCACGGCAGAGCCGGGAGAGGGGGTCAGGAGCATACCGGATGACTGTCGGGTCCGAGAAGCCAGGCAGTCAGCACCTCCTATGTGCCCGGCTAAGCACTAGGGAGGGGATACAAAGACTGACTAGAGTCGACCCCCTGCCCTCAAGGAGTTTACGGTCTAACGGGGAAGTAAGCCAGGGACAGGGACGGAGAAAGCTGACAAACGGTGTGATCTCTAGGGGAGAGGGAGAGTGGGAAGAACCCCTGCAGAAGGTGGGCCGTTTTCTCTCGGCCGGGTCAGCAGACATTTATGAAGTGCTTACTTAGGCCTGAAGGGAAGCCGGGAGGGGGAGTGAGGAGGGTGGTGTGGGGCTAAGCTGTAACAGACTGGGAAGGGATGGGGAGCACGGGGTCCGGAAGGGCTTGGAAGGCCCGCAGGATCTGGTGCGTAATCCTGGAGGTGCTGGGGAGCTGGGGAGGAGGTGAGGAGGGCCAAGCCAGGAGACAAGAGAGAGTGTGTGGCATGTTTGGAATGTCAAAGTGACAGATGTGGCAACAGCATGTATGTGGGGGCAGAGCCATCTGAGCGGCGAGCCCACCCCCGGCACCTTCACTTTAAGAGGAAGAGGGGAGAATTTGGGGAGGGGGGACAGATGCTGAGGTCCATCCTGGCCTCAGTGAGTTCATGATAGGTCATTGCAGACACAAGACTGGTTAGTGGTCTTGTGGGCCTAGAAGCAGCGTAGGGACCCCTCCTCAAAATACTGTTTTTAATGCATAAACTAAAATGCATAGGATTGCAAAGGAAACCAATCACGTTGACATACTGTTACCAGGATTTTCTTTTTTATTTTACCAAGTTCACGGAGCCCAGATGAAGAGCCCCTGGGCTCTGTGGTCCCTTCTCCGCCGCGGGGGAAGAGATGAGGCGGGATGGAGTCCTGGGCATGGGAGACAGAAGGCAGAAGAGGGGTGCCAGTGTCTTGTGTAAATTTTCTAAGCCACCAGCTCTACCTTACGATGTGGCTTGGTGAGGGGCCGAGCACGGCCATTAGTGACCGCTCGCTCTCTGGGCACGACCGTGCCGCCCACACCATCTGCCAGCCCTGATCACTCCCTTATGCACATGACCGGCCTGAGAGATTCGTCAGGGCTTTGCAGAAGTCCAGGTAACTCTCCTTAGGATGCTGCCTGAATTTACCGGCCTCCTGCTAGGCGTGCTGAGGAGGAGAGGAGGTTAGCTTGTCCTGACCTGTTTTTGATGAAGCCGCACTGGCTTCTGCTGCTTCCTCTGCTGACCGCCAGCCCGGCCTCGCGGATTCCCAGGCCAGGCCGTGCGCCTCTTCCCCCTTCTGAGACAGTCTCCAGTACTTGCTTTCTCCCGTGCTGCTGTCCCCTGCCTTGATCCCCCCCCACAGAGCCCAGACGGTTCAGCTTTGGCAGCTGATGGAGCCCACCTGGGCCTGTGCGCTGGGGTTTACCAGGGCAGGGAGCTGCTCTCCCCGTTTCTCCCCATTTATCGGGGTGGGAGTGGGGTGTTGTCGGTTGTTTCCGGCCTTCTTGTTTCACACTTTGGAGCGGCCATTCTCCTTGGCAGAGGACACTGAGGCCCAGAGAGGTCACAGGATCCTGGGATCCTGAGCTGGAAGGCCCTCAGAGCCGTCGGGCCCAGCCCGGCCACGAGACCACGTTCAGGCCCTGGACGAGTCACGTCTCTGAGCCCAGGTTTTCCTCCCTAATCCTCCCGGCTGTGCCCTCAGAAGCCAGGACAGGAGCTGGGGGCTGTGGGGCGGCTCGGTCTCTCTCTCGTGACTTCTCTCTCTTTCCTCAGGCCTACCTTCCCACGAGTTTGCCCTTTCCAGAGAATGGAGGCTGGAGGAGGAGGAGGAGCAGCAGCGGGAGGCAGGTGTGGCTTCGCGGCTCCTGGCAGCCATGGCCCAGGTGAGATGAGGGTTCTTCTTTCAGACGTCAGCGCGTCCAGCAAGAAGCTCCAAGCAAGACTGTGCGTGTGTGTATGTGTAATTTGTGTGTGCCTGTGTGTGTACAGACTGTGATTTCAACCATGTGGGGAGCTCCCTCTGAGCTCACGTACACACACTGGTAACTCTCCGCCTTAGAGAGTGGCCCGGGCTCCCGTGTGACCACTAGTGACTTGTCCAAGGTCGCACAGCCAGATTTGGACCCCCTCTGAGTGGACATCACGCTGGACTTATGCTTTATCAAACCCTTCTGTCTCTAAAGCGGGGAGGACCCGGTGCCCCCTGACCCCTCACATGCCCACACATTCCTGGGTTTGGGTTTTCAGGGAGGACTGGAGGCAGGTCTATGCCCGTGGTTTAATTGGTCCAGGTTTAGCTGGGACATCAGGAACTGTTTGCGCCTGACCTAGAGCCTGGCGTACAGCAGGTGCCTAATGAATGCTGCTGAATTCAGTCGACTTGGCCTCCCTTAGGATGGGCAGCCCAGTGAACCTTGTCCAGGAATGTGGGCTTGTAAAAGCATTCCAGGGAAGGCAGGCTGGTGGCTTGGGAGCTGCAGCCTCGGGTCTGGCCTTAGCTGGCCCAGAGGGTGGGGGGGGGCGGGGTGGTTAGCCCTGGGAGCTGAAGGCAGCAGGACAAAGGCAGCCCCTACCCTTAGGGAGCTTCCAGCCCAGGGGGAGCCAGGAGGCCAGTGGAAGTATTCATGCATCACCTTAGATGAAGAAATGCCCAGGCAGGGTTTTATTCTTCCTTATCGGGGAGGGAGAGTCTTCCTTCAGACCTGTTCAGAAAAGAAGGGACCCCAGAAGTGAGAGCCTCGAGCAGGGGAGGGAAGCTGGGGGTAACGAATAGATACAGAAGGAGCGCCCACATTCCTGCTGGCTCAGACGAGCAGAGAAGGCCCCACGGGGGCGCTGGGGTGTGTGCAGGTGGGAGATTGATGTGGTGGTGTCTGAAATACCCTCGGGAAAGGTAATGTGGCTGCTTAACAGAATGACAAACAGCGTTTTACGTTGCGTGTTAAAATGTAACATGTTTGGGGGGCAGCTAGGTGGCACAGTAGATAGAGCACCAGCCCTGGAGTCAGGAGCACCTGAGTTCAAATCCAGACTCAGACACATAATGCTCACCAGCTGTGTGACTGTGGGCAAGTCACTTAACCCCAATTGCCTCACCAAATAAATAAGTAAATAAATAACATGTTTGGGTTCATTTTGTGTGTTTTTATACACCCACCCAGGTTTACTCGCTGCTGTTCAGCCCTGTCTGACTCTCTGGGACCCCATTTGGAGTTTTCTCTTCTTTTCTTTTTCTTTTTTTGCTTTTTTGGTGAGGCAGTCGGAGTTAAGTGACTTGCCCAGGATCACATAGCTAGTGTCAAGTGTCTGAGGCTGGATTTGAACTCGAGTCCTCCTGACTCCAAGGCTGGAGCTCTGTCTACTGCACCACTTGGCTGCCCCCGTTTGGAATTTTCTTGGCAAAGATGGTAGAGAGGTTAGCTGTTTCTCTTCTCCAGTTCATTTTACCAATGGGGAAACTGAGGCAAACAGTTAAGGGACTTAAAGGTTAAAGGACTTGCCCAGTGAGTGTGTGAGGCCAGATTTGAACTGAGGAAGAAGAGTCCTCCTGACTCCCGGCCCATGCTCTGTGCACTATGGCGCCGCCTCACGGCCCATTCATTAGTAATAATTGATTTCAGTTTCTGGAATAGCCTGAGATTTTTCAGCTCCTCCAGCCAGGTCCCCAGCAAGATCCTTTTTCCATGGTCATGGTGGTTGCTGCTGGAGTTCTTTTCAAATTTCATGATATTTCTCAAGAAATACCTCCCAGCATTCCAGTGTATTAATGTGAGGGGCGGTGTGGCTGGGGGTCTGTTAAGTCTAGCCTCTGATGCCCACTGGCCCCGAGGGACCCTGGGCGATCGGCTTGACCCCTCAGCGCCCAGGGAATCTCTCTCTGCCTGTAAGTGCTGGAGGACATACCGTGGGAGAGTTCTCACTGGGAGTACCCTATGGGATGGATGTTTGCTAACATACCACAATTCATCTACCCATTCCCCTCTTGCTGGTGATTTTCGGTGTTTTTGTAATTACAAGTAATGTCACTGTGAAAATCTTTGAGCAGACGTCTCTTCGTTTGGGACAGCACTTTCAGGGTCTGCAGCCAGCAGTGGTATGTCATAAGAGTACGATTGATTTTGTAACTTCATGAATTGCCAGATTTCTTTCCAGAAAAATTGTTATTTTGCAATTTCTCCAGCCGCAGAGGAGCATGCCTGTTTTTGCACAGCCCCGTCAACACTGACTTTCATTGCTTTTCATTATTTTCACCACGTGGAGGTCTGTGAGGTGGTACTCTTGTGTTATTTTAGGTTGCATTTCTGGTTCTTAGTGACAGAGTATTTCTTCTTAGTGATTATGAATGATCTATATTTAAATTATTCATATTCTTTGACCATTTTTCCGTTATGGACTGGGAGTTACCACCAAGCCTCTTTAAATGGTTTTTATTAATATCTTTTGTTTTTGTATTACAGTCATTCGGGAGAAAGAAACCAACCAAATATCTTTGCCTTCATGCATTCTGTATGTGTAAAAGCTTTTTAATTTTTTATTGTGAAAATTGTTTTATTATTGTGATCTCCTCTATTCCTTGTTTAAAAGTCTCCCATCACTGTGGTTGTGAAACAATAGTGAGTACATTCTCTTCTCATTTTTAGAAAATTCAGGTCACATATCCATTTTGAGCTTACTGGACCATCACTGGGGCTTGTCAACAGTTTGCATGCAGTTAAACATCAAGGTTTTGTTCTAGTTGTATTTTCCCCAGCCTTTTTCTCGTCAGTTTTTTGAGGGTTATTGTATAGAATTTGTTATTTTGATAGAATCAGGCATTCTTGTTCTTAATAATTTTATTGGCTGAATGCGAACAAAAACCCCCATCCCAAATCAGGACAAAGACATCACTGCATGTGCTTCTGGCTTTTCTTAATAGCTATTTTATGCTTGTCTGTCAGCCAGCTGGAGTTCATTGGGAAACATCGTGTTACTTGAGGTCCTAAGTATCATTCCCACCAGGTCAGCCCTCAAATTTCCAAAGGGTGTTTCCTCAATAAGTGAGCCTTTCCCCAGTTTTTCTCTTCTATAGTTTTAACAAACACTCATCTTTTATAGACATTTGGTTGGATATCTGGAGTGTGTATTGTACCCCATTGGTCTGCCTCTCCATTTTTGTTTTGGGGGGTTTTGCCCATTTGTTTGTAGTTTTTAGAGTAACAGCCTTGTGATGTCATCCAAAGCCTGGGAGTGTAAGGACACACTTATTCCATGTGCCCCTGTATATATTTTGCTCCCTTGTTTTATTTGTCATTCTTAATTTTTTTTTTAAATTATTGATGTCCTCTTTACATCACCTCCATTTCTACATGTATCTCCTTCCCCACCCCAGGAGCCATCCCTTATATAATAAAAAAGAATGAGGGGGGAGACAGTTCAACAAAAGTAGCCAGCATATCTGCCTGGGTGGGTAGCATTTGCAGCGTTCCACACCCATAACCCTGCGTTTCTTCAGAGGAGGAAGAGAGGTGTATTCTCCTGATGCTCAGTAGCATAGGAACAGAGCCTTGAAGGTTTTGTGGAGGGTTTTCATTCATTCACATTGCTGCTATTCAGCATTTTATGTGCTGCTTTCTTGGTTCTTCATACTTGGTTTGCATCAGTTCACATAAGTCTTCCACGCTTCTCCAGTCATCTGTGTTGCCACAGTCATTGTTTGCACTGTTTTCTTGGTTTTTCATACTTAATTTGCATCAGACGCCTTCCATGCTTCTCTGAATGTTTTAGGCACCAGTTATTATGATAGAGTAAAACTCCATGACATTTATGAACCACAGTTTAGCCATTGCCCAGCCAGTGGTATCAAATCTAAAACATGTGGCTTTGAGTATTTTTGTGTGTTGGAGCCTTTCTGTATTTAATCTTTTGAAGTCTATGCTGAGAAGTGCCTCTGAGTGAAAGGGGTTGAACATTCTAGTCACATCCTTAACATAATTTCAAGTGATCATTTTTGCAGACTATGTGGTCCATTTCTCAGATCCACCAGTAGTGCATGAGTGTGCTTATCTTTCCACAGCACCTCCAACATTGATGATCTTCTTCTTCTTCTTCTTCTTCTTCTTCTTCTTCTTCTTCTTCTCTTCTTCTTCTTCTTTCTTCTTCTCTTCTCCTCCTCCTCCTCCTCCTCCTCCTCCTCCTCCTCCTCTTCCTCCTCCTCCTTCTCCTTCTCCTTCTCCTTCTTTCTTCTTTCTTCTTCGCAGTTGGGGTTAAGTGACTTGTCCAGGGTCACACAACTAGTAAGTGTCAGGTGTTTGGTCTGAGGCCAGACTTGAACTCGGGTCCTCCTGACTTCAGGGAAGGTGCTCTATGCACTGCACCACCTAGCTGCCCCTATTTTCTTTTTTTTACACAGAATAAAAACAAGGGCTGGGACAATATTTACTGTACATCAGCTAAATAAGGAAAAAGCAGGAGCTTTCAGACAGAGCAAAAAAATAAAACAAAGCACAAAAACCATTCACAACATAAAAAGAGATTAACAAGGAAACTGCATTATTCCAAAAGGAACTGTAGACAGCAAGCCAGTATCAGTATAAAACTTGTATGCTCCAGATGCCTGGCATCAAGACTCCATAAAAGGAAATTCACTGAATTATGAGAAGACATAGAGGTTAAAAGAGTAGTGACAGGAGATTTAATATCCTTTCTTAGTTTTAGTGAGTCTTAATAGAAAGGTAAAAGAGAAAACACAGAATTGAACACATTGCTGAAGAAACTAGAGCCAAAAGAGTAAATGGCATCTCCTAAACAGAACTGCTAAAGAATATATGTGTTTCTCAGCATCGCCTTTCACCCCATGGAACTTCTTTCTTTTTAACTGACCTCGTATTAGGGCCCAGAGATATTGCAGACAGATGTAAAATGGCAGAAATAGTGACCACATCCTTGGTGGACCGCAGTGCAATAAAGATGATAATCACTCATAAACAAAAGACACAGGGCCGTGTGGACGCTTAACACAGAACTCCCCACTAATGAGTGGGTCAAAGAACAAGTCATAGAAACAACAGGAAAGTGAACATGATGAAACAACAGACCGAACTTTTTGGGATTCAGCTAAAGCAGTCCTCCAGGCAAAATTATACCCCCCAAGTATACATTAACAAAACAGAAAAGGAGAGGAGTTTGAAAACATTAGGAGGGTGATAGAGAAACGATTTTCATCTTCTGTCCACTGTCATGTTTGTGCTAGAGCCAGGCTGATTAGCATTGTTTCACGAGCAGGATTTGGAGCGGGGCTGTTAATCATTTGCAGTTCTTTTGCTACCCTTTGTCCACTGCTCCACTGGGGAGGGGTCCCCACGGTTTTTTTGATGTTCATTTCAATATTGTGCTTTTGTCCAGTTCTGGAGGCAATAGACAGAAAGCTGGGCTTGAAGCCGGGACGTCTTGGGTTCCTATCCTGCCTCTCTTTGACCCTGGGCAACCCCAGAGAAAGGTCCCCCTCCCCACCCCGTGGGTAGAAATGGTTTCCTTGACCTTCAGAATCACAGGCCCTGCCTGGGTGCATTGTTGGCTTTTATTAAATCTGCAGCTGGTTTGGCTGGTTGTAAATGGAGTTTCCTTATTAGAAAAACCTTTGTTGCTGCTAAATGAGAATGTGGGCTGCTTTTGTGGGCTGGTCTTACTCTGTAAGTGGGCTGCTGGAGGCACAGTGGATGGAGCACTGGGCTTAGAGTCAGCCTCAGATACTAACCAGCCGGGTGACCCTGGGCTACTAGTCACCTAACCCTGCTTGCCTCAGTTTCCTCATCTGCAGAATGAGCTGGAGAAGGAAATGGCAAACCACTCCAGCGTCTTTGCCAAGAAAACCCCAAATGGGGTCATGAACAGTGGGACATAATCTGGAAAAGACTCAATGACATCAATGAATCTTATACCCTAACACGTCCTGTTTTCTGTCTTTGGCCTCGTAGAGGCAGGGTGGTGCTAGCCAACAGAAAGCAGCATGGAGGTCAGGAGGACCCGGGTTCAAGCCCTGCCTCTGACACTTAGTGACCTCTCAGGGCCCCAGGCCACTCTCAGAGACCAGAAGTCATGCCCAGGAGGGAGTTTCTGCTCTGGGACTTCCCTCTGGGGACGAAATCCTGGGTCCAGACAAAACACAAAGTCTCCTGAACCGCGGGCAAGAGCCCCCTTGATTCCAATCTTCTTCCAGCATTAGAGGTTGCTCCTTCACCTTCAGGTGCCCTGCGTTCGCTGGATTGGGTCAGGGTGCGCTCTGGTGTCTTCCAGCGTGCCTCTCTGACATGTGAGGGAGGGGAAGGGAACATGCATTTATAGAGTGAATGCCTGCTGTGTGCCAGGCACCATGCCAAACGCTCATTCAATCCTCACACCCACCCTGCCGCGTTGGTGCAGTTATTACAGATTATATTCTCATCATTAATAATATTATACAGCTGAGGAAACTGAGTCAGTCAGGGGTTAAGTGACTTACCCAGGGTCACACAGCCACTAAGTGTCTGAGGCTGGATTTGATGCAGCATTGCCAGTTCTTTGTGGAATGGAAGTTGTGACAAGTGGGTATTTTTGTTTTCTTGCCATTGTTAGTGGGAATTTCTCTAGTGTTTCACCAAACATATAATGTTGACTTTTATTTTCAAATAGATGCACCTTATCATATTGAATCTCCTCTGTCAATTCTTTCTGTTTTAAAATATTTTGTTACTATAAATTTAATAATACTCATGGAGAAACATAAATAATTAAAACAGGGAATCTCATTTTCTAAAAATCTAGGCCTGTGATTTCATTTGTATGAAGAACTTCCAGTACGGAAATGCCTTCTACCAACCCAGATCAGTAACTCACCCATTACTTAGAGTCAGAGAGTTAACTCCCTAGGATACTGAGAGATGATCTGAAGGGACTGCCCTGGGTCGCTCTAGCAATGTGCGTCAAAGGCAGTACTTGAACCCGAGCCTTCTAGACTCCAAGGCTGGCCCTCTGTCTGCTACCCTTCCCCTGTCCCCATCCGAGTTTCCCCCACCCCGCACTCCCACCACACACACACACACACACACACACACACACACACACACACACACACACACAGCCTGTCAGATCTCCCAAACAGAATTTTAAAAGGCAAACTGCCTTTTTATTGGAAAAAATAACAGTATGGAAAAAACATGAAAATAGAGAACAGGAGGTCAGGACTGACAGGCAGTGTGAGCTGTTGGTCTCAGCCGGAGAAGGTCCCCTCACATTGGCGGGGTCATTGTGGGGACTTTAGGAGGGGGGAGGACAAGGGACGAGTTTGGAAGGCCCAGATCAGTTGCGGTCTGAAATCATAGATCTTGATTTATCAAGGACGGCGCATTTATTCTGCATTGTTCTCTTCCGGTTCTCTGTGGGTATTTATAAAGGTCTGTCTGTTTTGTGTGGGCTCCTGTGGGTTGAGTGTCAATGTGAGTTTTTCCACATTTCTTTGTGTTTTTTCTGTAGCACAGTTTTTGTAGCTAACCTTAGCACGTACAGACGCCTTGTGTAGTAGATGCCTTGGGGATACATACATGTAGCTTGATGTAGGGTGTGAGAAATGCCTCACACCAAATTTCTGCCTGCCACTGGCTTGTTACCTTGTTAATTCTGTCACCAGGCACTAAGGTTATTGAGGTATATTGTGATATTATATCATAAATACCTGAAACCTGTAATTAATAGTTAGCTGTGAGCCCCCACCCAGTAAAACCAGTGACATCTCTTCCCATAAGCTTCTTTCCCTTTCTCCATTTCAAACCCTGATCCCACAGGCTTAGACAAACATCACTCTTAACTGTCTGTATAATTATTAGCAGTCACAGTCAATATCAAGACATAGATAAATATTTGCTCTGTGTATCGACTCTGAGAAAGGTCAGCCAGAATCACTTGAAAAGTGGAGAAAAAAGTGGTTGTCGTCCACTGGAATTTCCCCCCCGCCTGGCTTGCAGCTGCTGACCCCCCAAAGTACCAGAACTTATGGCCGTCATTTCAGGCCCCTTAGGATGGGGGTCAAAACCTCAGTGGTTCTGCACAGAACAGCCCCCACAGTGTGAGTGTTAAAAACGTTCTCTCAGGAGGTCGCTTCAGATACTCCACCTCTAAGACAGTTAACTCTCATTGTCCTCAACAAAGAAGATCTTAGCTCTGTCTCCCCACCTCCCTCAGGACCAGTAACTTTCCAAGCCTTGTTTTGTCGTGATGGTTAACTGTGGACTCTCATGGACCCCTTTCTCCCACAACGCAAGCTTTCTCCTCCAGGGATGCCCATGACAGATCAGTCTCCAAGATTCTACTGGTTGTTTTTTTCTCTTAAAGATAAAGTCATCGTGACCAGAGGGTCGGCAAACACATGTAACCTGGGGTCCTGTTTAGACACACTCTGATTTTGGTCTGTGCTTTTAGTCTGGGCAAGATAGTTGCAGGAGGAAAACTCCCTCCACGGATTAGTTGGCTGTCAGTGCGGGGCTCCGGATGTTGTCCGTGGTCATGTAGCCACTATCTGTCACAGTCTTCAAGGGCTCCAGTCCTTTTTTCCTTCCCTGTCACCAACCTTGCAGGTGATCCTCAGGCTAGAATCTCAACTAGGGGCTCTCTGCAGCACAGGGCATGATCAGTCTTGTGACCATTGATGCCCTCTGTCAGTGGATTTCCCTCTGAGGTCCGGCCGGCCTACCCTACCCACATACCAGGTGCACCGCCCAAGTGGAGTTTTATCACATCTGCCTGTTTTTGCACATTGATGGGAGTAAATTAGCATCTTAAGTTAGCGTGTTTTCATTTCTATTTCCCTGATTGTTAGATATTCACCATCTGAATTTGAGATGAAACAACTGAAAGCCAGAAAGGACCCTGCAGATCTCTGGTCCAGGGACTCTTCACCTTTCTTGGGCCCCAGACCCCTCGGACAGACAGTCTAGGGAAGTCTAAGGCCAGGCTGCTGCTCAGAATCGCATCTTTAAATGCAGAAAATAAAACAGAGGAAACCAGAAATGCTACGATAATAGTGTGATTCCCCGCCCATTCATGGATATCCTGAATTCTCTCCACAGACCTTAGATCTAGAACCCCTGATCTAGTACACACACACACACACACACACACACACACACACACACACACACACACCCCACCAGCCCATTGAGTTGAAATTACTTTCCAAAGGTCCCAAGGTTATAAGGAGCCAAGCCAGGGTCCGAGTTTGGCTCTTAACTTCAGCATGTTCTGTTTGTCAGTGCCCTGCCTTCTTAGCAGTGGAATTCGTCGCCTCCCTCTGAGGGCTGCCCACGCGTGTTCGTCTCTGCCTCCCTCTCCGGCCTCTGCCTCCCAAGCCTGTCTTTCTCTGACCCGGCGACGCAGCAGACTCGACATGGCTTTTCTTTGTGATGCTCACTCATTTGTTACTCGGGGCACAGATGAGATCCCCGAGGGTCTCACTCTGGACAGTGATTTTAAATAGGCAGTTTTTGTATTTATTCCTAGAGTCCTACGATCACAGATCTAGACCTGGAAAGGACCTTGTGGGTCACGCCATCATTTTACAGAGGGGGAAACTGAGGCCCACAGAGGCATTGTGGCAGGATGGATCATGGAGTCAGAGGCCCTGAGGTCAGACCCCAGCTTGCTTGCTGTGTGACCCTGGATCAGTCACTGTGCCTCGGTTTTCTCCTCTGCAAAATGAAGCAGTTGGGATGGATAGCCTCTGGAGTCCCTTCTAGCCCCGAGTCTGTGATGCCAGAATCGGTGACTGGTCCAAGGTCACCGGGGTGATACGCGGTACCCTGTCTGCCCCCTGCTGTTGGTGTACCTCTCTGAAATCTTCCCATTGGAGTTCAGAGGATTGTGGATCACGAGATGCAGGTGGAGAGCTGGGAAGACCTCAGGGGCTGCTGAGTCGGCGTGGGTGGAGGGACTTGACCCCGGGGCCCTGCAGTGCCCTTTCCCCACATCAGTGCTGCCTCTGCCCACCTTCGCTGGTGTCTGACACCATCTGTGCTGAGAGCCAGGTCCCTTCAGCCTCACCCGTCTGCCTCAGCGTTACGTGAAGTTCACGTTGACATCACCGGTCACAGAGCGGGTGGGTGAAAACCCTTTAAACGTGTCTTTGCGGCCGTCGTCATCGCTGTTAAATAGCCTTTTTCTCAGTGATTCTTTATTGAACTATTGACCGTTTGGTCGAATGCTAACAGAACACCTGTTTGTTGCAGTCTTTCTGTGACTGAACCGGCTTTATCCAGACCGCAGCACACAGCATTCCTTTTCTGCTCTTAGGGATGCAGGCTTCTTTCGCCTGGCCTCAACTCCCTGGGGGCGTCGGTTTGGGTGAAGCAGGAGGAACTGAGTCGCAGAAGCGGCCTGTCCTTGATCCAGGGCCCTCCCTGGCAACAAAGAGAATTGATGAAAACACAATGATAATACAGCTCTCTCCTCCTGGCCTGTCCGTTCTCCCCTGCCCCATCTACTGCTCCCCTGGCCACCCCTCAGCCCTCCTCGCCTTGTGCCTGGCCTGTTTCAGTAGGCTGCTGGGGGTCTCCCCGCCTCATGTCTTTCTGACTCCACGTCTGATTCCGCACCCGCTGGCTGCCTTGTGTGTGCAGGAGCTGAGTGTGACAATGAGGTGACTTGGGTGGCTGGGAAGGAGAAGTCCGAGAGAAGGAGATTTGGGGGGCAGGAAGACGATGGTCCTGTCGAGAACCCACAGGACATCCGGCTGAACGTTCTAAGAGGCTGTCGGTGAAGCAAGACAGGAGTTCAGGAGAGAGATGAGGGCTGAACCCAGAGACTGGGGAGTCATCTGCATAGACATGATACAGGAGCAGAGGAGATCACCAAGAATGTAGAGGAAAGAGAAGAGGGCCCAGGACAGAGCCCTAGGGGACCCCTGCCGCTAGTGCACGTGACACGGAGGGTGAAAGGACAGAAGAGCTGGAGAAGGAGCAGCGGTCAGACATGGAGGAGAAGGAGGACCAGGGGAGGCCAGTGCCAGGAGAGGTCAGTGCCCCCAGGACCTAGTGAGGAGTGGTCAGATATGGAGTAGGAGGACCAGGGGAGGTCAGTGCCAGGAGAGGTCAGTGCCCCCAGGACCTAGTGAGGAGTGGACAGATATGGAGGAGGAGGCCAGGGGAAGCCAGTGCCCCCAGGACCTGGCGAGGAGAAGGCAGTCATCAGCTTTCTGGGAAAGACACACAGAGTGGGTCAGGTTACGGGCGGGAGCCGAGGAGAGCTCACTTGAGCGTGCCCCATGTGGGCTCCCGCTTTCTGAGTCCACCTGCGCACTGTGGGGTGATTGGCAGTGGGGAATGACCGCGGAGTTGTCGGTCATCAGCAGTGTGCGCCTGCAGTGACTGCTGATGTCGGTGTTGTAGATCCGATCCCAGGACGGAAGTTGTTTTCGCTCCTGGTCTGGCCGTCTGCCGAGGGCACTCCTGCGCAGGTGAGCAGGGCCAGCCCGTTCCCTGCTGGATCCAGTGCGGCCGCTCTCTGTTCTCCAAAGACGCCCGAGCACCCCCGGGCCTCCCTCTCCGGCCCAACTGTCTCCCTTGGCCCTGAGGCGGCCGGTGAAGGGGACGGTCTGGGCTGAGCGGGGACATGTTTGATGTTTCAGCACCCAGTGACGTTCCGGGATGTGGCAGTACACTTCACCCGGGAGGAGTGGAGCCACCTGGGCCCCGCCCAGCGGGCGCTGTACCGGGAGGTGATGCTGGAGACCTTTGAGAACCTCGTCTCCCTGGGTAAGCGCAGCGTGGCCAGGTCAGGGCCGGGGTGGGGGATGGGAAGGGGGCTCTCCCCGCTTTCCTCAGTGTGGACTTTGCAGTCCACAGCAGACTGCAGGATTCCAAAGCCTCTTAGGGCCAGTAGACATCATGGGAGCAGCGGCCCCAGTGATAGCAGTAACTAGCATTTACCTAGAGCTCTGAGGGTTGTCAAGCACTCACCTCCTCTCTTGATCCTCACAACAGCCTTGTGAGGTAGCTGCTGCTATCATCTCCATTTCACAGAAGGGGAAACTGAGGCAGCTTCTGTGACTTGCCCAGGGCCAGCTAGCTAAGTAAATACCCGAGGAAGTATTTGAACTCCTGTCTTCCTGACTTGAGGTCCAGCACCCTGTCCACTGTGCTACCTCCCTGCCTCTAGAATATCTCTGCTCCCTGTTCGGGGGTGAAAGACCTTTGCTTTGTGAAAAAGGATCTTCCATGTTCTCCTCATGTTGGCCCCAAGGCTGCCCCCAGGTCACTGATTCTTCCCTAAGGTCTGGAGAGAGGGCAGGCACCCCCCCTTAGCACAGTCCTCCCCCATCCTCAGAATGCAGAGCAGAGAGTCTCCTCAAGGCCTTGGACCACCCCAGTCTTGTCAGCATGTCCATGACTGTCCCCGATGGGAAAGAAGGGCTCAGGATTGAACCCTGCGATGGCTCTGACCCTGGCATTGCTTTCCTTCTCTCTCCGTGCCCAGGGTCTCCTGTTTCCAAGCCTCAGGTCATCTGCCAGCTGGAGAGGGGAGAAGCGCCATGTCTGCCCGAGACAGAAGCGCCCCGTCCAGGTGAGTGAGGGAGTGAGTGGGCATCCCTGACCGCGGCCACAGCTCAGCGGGCCGACCTGGGCAGGGGGCTCTCCTCAGCATCGCCCCTTCCTGTGAGAAGCCTGCCTTGCTGCTCCCTCCCCTCTCTGCCATAGACAAAGGTCTTGTCATCTGTTTCCTCATCCCCGCCCAAGAGCCACCAGCACCCCTGCCACGTACAAGCACATTTCTGAGTGATCACACCTCTGGGACCAGAGAAGTGGGTATGTTGGGACCTCCGGAGCAGGAGCAGGTTCCCTTGGCTCTCAGGCTGCTGCTGAACTCGCGGCCCTCTGTTCATTTTCCCAGGGCTTGTCCTAATTGTGCGGGGCTTTGGGGCCATCACTTCCCAGCTCAGGTTTCCTGGCCCAGCAGCGTCTCGGGCATGGTGTCACGTGGGTGGGAGGGGGCGTTTCTCATTTCTCTTGGCTTTCCATTCTCTTCATAAATCTACTTCTCCCACTGCTCATCAGACACCAGGGTGGTTCCAGTTTTTTGCTGGGACAGAGTGTTGCTAGTTTCCCCTTCTGGAAGATGAGGGAGTGGGACCAGAAGGCCTGGGAGGTCCTGTCCAGCTCCAGAGCTAAGGTCCTGCTGCCATTATTTCTAGGATCGTGGTCACCCTTCCTCTGCCACAGCCCCCACCCTGCCCCGGATGGATGCAGTCCATGCTGGGCGTCTGCCTGCCCAAGTCTCTCCCCGCCCTGGTCCATCCTTCATTCAGCCGGTCATGTCACCTGCTCAGTAACTCGGTGGTCCTGTCATCTCCAGGATCTACAGCAAACGCTCAGCTTGGTGCTTGGCACTCGGAGCCTTTTATCACCGCTCCCTCCTCTCTCCCCTACTCGTCCTCCTCAGGCCTCCTGGCTGTTCCATGAGCAAGCCCCTCCCTCTCTCAGCTGGCACTGACGCCCCTCTAAGTCCCGCTAGAATCCCGCCTTTCACGGGAAACCTTCCCCGGGCCCTTTGAATTTCACTCCCGTAGGTCATTGAGGCAGGGACTGCCTTTTGCCTCTTCTCCTATGTACATAATGAATGTTTATTGGTTGATTGATTGACCTCAGAGGTCATTGAGGCCAACCCGTCATTTTACGAATGAGGGAAATGAGACCAGAGAGGTCAAGGTCTTTCACCTGTAGAGCTGGACAGAACCTTGAGGTCAGTGGCCGAGGAGAGGGAAGCACACAGGGGGAAGTGACTGGCCCAGGGTCAGCTAGTCTCTTTTTTACCATCAGATAAAAACGTGCTTCGTGTGCTTTCTGTTTTCATGGTTGTGCTCATTATGTGTATTATTTCCTCGGCTCTGCTGCCTGCACTTGGGGTGAGTTTACCGCGATCTTCCACGCTTTTCTGTATTGGACACACTGATTTCTTGTTTGTTGTCTCTTTTTGATTTATTATTTTGTTTTCTTTGAGAGGCAGCATAGTGGTTAGAGGGCCAGCCTCAGAGCCCAAGAGGTCTGAGTTCAAGTCCCACACAGGAACTCTGGGCAGGTCACTTAAGCTCTGAACGATCCAGGCAACCCTCTAACACAGTAAGTTTGGGTTTACTCCATTTCCTTATCCCAGAGTTTCCTGTGTGATGAAATCACTTTGTTGTTGTTTAGCTGCTTTCAGTGGTGTCCAGGACTCCTGGTGACCTCATCTGGGGTTTTCTTGGCAGAGATTCCGGAGCAGTTTGCCATTTCCTTCTCCAGCTCAGATGAGGAAACTGAGGCAAACAGGGTGAAGTGACTTGCCCAGGGTCACCCAGCTAGTAAGTGTCTGAGGCCACATTTGGACTCAGGAAGATGAGTCTTCCTTGCTCTAGGCCCAGTGCTCTGTGCACTATGGCACCGCCTCCGATTTTTGGTTACTGTGAAAAGAGCTTCTATAAATATTTTTGTATGTATGGGTCCTGTCTTTCCTCCTTTGATCTCTTTGGGGCCTAAAAGTGGTGTAGCTGGTGGTATAATTAGTAGTGGAAAAGCATGCAAACACTTTAGTGCCTTTAGGGAAGCAGCTCCAAGCTTCCTTGCAGAATGGCTCCACCACCTCGCCCCGAGGGGCCTGTTTTCCCACAGCCCCCAACTCGTCCTTGTCCTTTTTCGTCCACTTTGCCAGCGTGGTGGACAGGAGGTGAAATCTGCCAGCTGCTTTACTGTGCGTTTCTCTAAGTAGTAGTGATTTGGAGCATTTTTTCAAAAGGCTGTTGATAGCTTCGATTTCCTTTAAAACTGTTCGTGTCCTTTGACCATTTATCTGCTGGGGAATGGCTTTTTAGTCTTATGAATTTGAACCAATTCCTTATGTGTCTTAGATACGAGACCTTTATCAGAGAACCTTACTACAAAGAATTTTTTCCCCAATTGTCCCTTCTAATTTGGGGGGGGTGTAGGCAGTGGGGTTAAGTGACTTGCCCAGGGTCATACAGCTAATAAGTGTTATGTGTCTGAGGCTGGATTTGAACTCAGGTCCTCCTGAATTCAGTGCCGGTGCTCTATCCACTGCACCACCTAGCTGCCCCTCTAATTTTAATTACATTAATTTTGCTTGTGCAAAAGCTTTTATTTTGTAATCAAAATCATCCATTTTGTCTTGTGATGCTCCCTTTTCTTTCCATCTTCAGAGATTGGAAGGTCATTTCTTTGTTTCTCCTTTAACTGCTTAGGATGTCACCTTTTATGTCTAAGCATCCATTTAGAGTCGATACCTAATTCTGCCAGGCAGCTTTCCAGTTTTTCCGGCACTTTTAGTCAAAGAGTGAGTCCTTGCCCCAGTGACTGGGGGTCTTTGGTTTTAGTAAACCCTAGGCTATTGTGATTGCCTGATCCTGTATATTGTGCACCTCGTCTTTCTACTAATCAACTTTTCTGTTTCTTACTCTATACCAATCATTTCAATCATTATAGCTTTGTTGTATAGTTTGAGATCTGGTACTGCTCAGTCCCCTCTCTTTCTGCTTTTTTTCATTATTTCATTTTTTCCCCCTAGTTCTATTAAAAAAAAAAACAACTAGGGAAAAAATTAAATTCATCCCTCCCCCCCCAGTTCTATAAAATGGTGCAGTGGATAGAGTGGGCAGAGACTCATCTTTTTGAGTTCAAATCCAGCCTCAGACACTTACTGGCTGTGTGACCCTGGGCAAGTCACTTAATCCTATTTGCCTCAGTTCCTCATCTGCAAAGTGAGCTACAGAAGGAAATGATAAACAACTCCAGTATCTTTTCCAAGAAAGCCCCAAATGGAGTCAACAGAGACTCAGGCACACATGAAATGACTGAAAAACAATAACAAGAGTTCTATAAAATAACCCTTTGGTAGTTTAATTAGTGTAGCACTATGTAAGCGGGTTAATTTAGGTAGCATTGTCATTTTTATTGTATCAACTCGATCCATACACAAGTCATTACTGTTTCTTCAATTATGTAGGTCTGATTTGACTTCTTTAAAAGACTCCTTTGTAGCTGGATTCATCTAGTTCCTAGGGTATCTCTGGGGAGCTGGGTTCCTAGAGATTTTGTACGGTCGGTATCATTTCTTCATGTGATTTCTCTTTCTAGCCCTTCCTTCTGGGTTGATAACATGCATGAATGTTGGTGTGTGTTTATTTTCTGTTTAGCCACTTTGCTTAGTTTACGGTCTTAATTAATTTTTAGTTGATGAGGTTTTTCCAGTTGGGTCATCTGAAAAGGCAACAGTTTTGTTTTCTCTTTGCCTGTGCTTATTCACACTCTCTTACTGCTATAGCTAGCATCTCTGGGGCCATGTTAAATGATAGTGATAATGGGCAGCTTTGCTCTACTCCTGGATCTTATTGGAAAGGCCTCCAACTTTTCTCCATTGTATATCATGTTTGCTCCTGGTTTTAAATAGTTATTATGGACTATATTACCATATCTATTCCTAAGAGATTTTAAAATAGGAATAGGTGTTAGATTTTATCAGAAGCCTTTTCAGCCTCCATGGATAGGGTCGTGTCATTTTCATTATATATGACTGTTATTAACATGGCTCATTATGCTTATAATATTCCTTATGTTAAAGCAGCTCTGCATTTCTAGTATAAATCCAGTGTGGTTACAGTGTATCACTTTAGTATGTGGTTGAGGCCTGTTTAAAATTTTTGCATCAGTGCTCATTAAGGAGAGTTGTCTATAGTTGTCTTTCTTTGCCTCGTCTCTCCCTGTTTTAGGTCCCAAGATTGTATTTGTATCACAGTCTCTGATTAAAAAGGGCACTTTTCCTATCTATTTTTGCAAAGTTTATATTATGTTGGAATTAATTATTCTTAGAATATTTGATAGTTTACTTATAAATTCATCCAGTCCTAGAGGTTTTTACATTGGGAATTCATTTATAGTTTGTTCAATTTTTTTTTTTATGTTGGGTTATTTAAAGAATCTGTTTCTTCTTTTGTTAATGGGAGTATCTATTATTTTTGTAAATAATCATCCATTTCCTTTTTGATAGACATATTTTGATTTCTTCTTCCTATTTTTGTTCAAGATTAGCTTTTAGGTTTTTTGTTTTGTTTTGTTTTTCAAAAAGCCAGCTTCTGGTTTTATCTAAGTCTCTACTTTCCAAAAGTCCATCTGTTTTTTCTCATCTGAAAATCGAGGCATTTTCCCAGGAGCGATTCTTTGATGACATTTGTAAGTGTTTGCTGTTGCTGCACACACAGTTAGGTGAATTCTTACTGTCTCTTCCTCCTTACTACCTCCTCCTTGGGTATTCATTTCCACTTAACAACTCTTTGTCCCACCTTTTCTATAGTGAGCACCTTTCTCTCTGATTATAGAAGAAATTAACCCCAGAGCTCACCACAGAAGTGTCAGATACTCCCCAGCCCCACCCAAGGTTGGCCACGCCCTGGTCTTGCCCTTACCCACAAGCACACCACCACTTTCATGGTCATGAGCTCCAAGACTCCTTATCTGGTCATCACCTTTGGTCATTCCATCGCCCCCTCGGCCTTGCATCTTCCTCACCATGACTTCAGCCCCTCTGTTCTTCCCAGGTCACAGGCTACACCCTCCTGCCATCCCCATCTTGACTCCTCAGTGAGCCAGCTCACTCTATGTCTTTTTCTCTCAAGCCCCCATGCCCCCTTACTACATCTCTTGGCCTGACAAGCCTCGACCTTGGCTGACCCCCACCATCCACTGCCTTCACTCCTAGTCATATGCTGTTGAACCACGTACTCTTGGACATAGTGACCCGGCCTCCTGACTACTCCATGACCAAGAGGCTTCATCCCTCGGCTGCAGGCATTTTCTCTGGCTGTCCTCTACATCTGGAGCACTCTCCCTCCTCATCTCTGCCTCGTGCCCTCCCTGGCTGCTTTCAATCCCTGCTAAAATACCATGTTCTCTAAGAAGCCTTTCTCAATGGCCCTTCATGTTAGCCTTTCCTCTGTGGATGATCTCCCGTTTATCCCATGTATATTGTGTTTGTACATAGTTGTTGGCATCTTATCTCTCCCATTAGATTGTGAGCTCCTCAAGGGCGTGGACTGTCTTTTGCCTTTCTTCATATCCCCACCACTGAGCATTGCCCGACCTAGAGTAGGTGCTTAATAAACGTGCGCTACCTTGTCTCAGCTTCCTTCTCCCTGACACAGAGAACCATAGATTTTGACTCTTCTCGTTTTTTTTCAGAGTCTCTCAATTCAGGGACCAAGTATGAGATCAGCGACTGGATTCCAAAGCCCGGCCTTTTTACGGGAGCGTCATTCGAGGAAAGACCAGCAACCAGGAACGGGCCCTGGCATTCCAAGATGGCAGATGCTTGGGACCTCGATGTCCCAGGAGAGGGGCAGAGAGGCGGCCGGGAGACGCAGTCCAGACCTCTAACAGTCTCCTCTGGAAAACCTGTGAATAAAGTGAGCATCTCTGAACGCAGTCCAGCTGACAGGAGTTTTAGCCTGGAGTCCATCTATGCTCCGCAACAGAGAATCTCTACGGAGAAAAGTCTTCATAAATATGACACTCTTGTTAAGAGCTTCAAGCAGTTTTCTGACTTAATTGATTGTAATAGACTTTCCTTGGGAAAGAAGCTTTGTAAGTATAATAAATCTAGGAATCCTTTTAGTTACCACTCAGACCTTATTCAGTTTCATAGAATATATAATGGGGAAAAGATATATGAATGTAATGAATGTGGGAAAACCTTTGGGAAAAAAGCGTACCTTACTCAACATCAGAGAATTCATACTGGGGAAAAACCCCATAAATGTAATGTATGCGGGAAAGCCTTTAGTCATAGGGAAAATCTGACTCATCATAAGAGAATTCATACAGGAAAGAAACCCTATCAGTGTAATGAATGTGGCAAAGCCTTCAGTCAGTGGGGAACTCTAACTGCACATCAGAGAATTCATACTGGAGAGAAGCCCTATATATGTAATGAATGTGGAAAAGCCTTTTGCCAAAGAGGAACGCTTAACGTTCATAAAAGAATTCACACTGGAGAGAAACACTTTGAATGCAAAGAGTGTGGGAAAGCCTTCAGCAATAATTCATGCCTTAATCTACATCAGAGAATTCATACTGGAGAAAAACCCTATAAATGTAATGAATGTGGAAAAGACTTCAGACACAGAGCATCTTTTATTTATCATAAGAGAATTCATACTGGTGAAAAGCCCTTTGAATGTAATGAATGTGGGAGAGCTTTCAGCAAGAAAGGAAATTTTATTGAACATCAGAGAATTCATACTGGAGAGAAACCCTTTATATGCAGTGAATGTGGGAAAGGCTTCATTAACAACACGCGCCTTAATCTACATCAGAGATTTCATACGGGAGAGCGACCCCATAAATGTAATGAATGTGGCAAAGCATTCAGGCACAGGGGAAGCCTTAGTGCCCATCGCAGAATTCATACGGGAGAGAGGCCTCACAAATGTACTGAGTGTTTGAAAGCTTTTGGCCAGAGGGGACAGCTCATTAAACATCAGAGAGTTCATGCGAGGGCAAAAGCCCACAGTTTTGATGAATTTGGAAGACCCTTCAGTCAGTGGGGAAGCCTTGCTGAGCAAAAGAGGATCCCTGTAAAGAAACCCTTCGTGTGTAATGAATGTGGGAAAGCCTTTAGCCAGAACTCAAACCTCATTCTACATCAGAGAATTCACACTGGAGAGAAACCTTTTGTGTGTGAAGAATGTGGGAAAGCCTTCAACCAGAAGGGAAACCTTAATGAACACAAGAGAATCCACACTGGAGAGAAGCCCTTTATCTGCAGTGAATGTGGGAGAGCCTTCAGCCGGAGAGGGCACCTTACAGAACATAAGATAATTCACACTGGAGAGAAACCCTTTGAGTGTAATGAGTGTGGGAGAGCCTTCAGACGGAAGAGACATCTTACTGAACATGTGAAAATCCATACTCGAAAGTAGCCCTTGCAATATGATGAGTGTGGGAGAGTCACTAGCCAGAAAAACATCATGGACATCAAAGAATTTATTTGTGGTGAGAATCTTCATCGTGTATTAATGTGGGAAAGGCTTCAGGACCCTTAGGAAGCATCAGAGAACTGAAGAAAAACATAAGAATGGAATAGCCATGGGAAAAGTGGGGGGACCTTGTTCATCTCACAAGATGTCAGGAACTTAGCCCCCACCTGCTGTGAAGCTGAAAGGGACCTTAGGGGTCATCTGATCTGACAGCCTCATTTTCAGAATTGGGGAGCAAGGTGACAGAGGTAAATGGGTAGTGGAAAGTGCACGAGGACTGGTGCTCTAAACCCAAAGGACCGGGCTCCCATCGCACCCCTGCTTTGTCTCCCTCTGTGCCTCTGGATGAGGCCCAGGACCTCTATTTCCTCTTCTGTAAAACAGAGCCATTGGCCTTTCTGGCCCCTGGGCTGCCTTCCCATTCTCAGCCTCGGATGCTGTGGCCTGAACCCATGCTCTCTGATCCCAGATTCAAGGTCTTCCCTTTGTGCCATATCTGACGCTAGAAGTCGCGCCGCTTTTATGGGGAAATTTCATAACGACTTAGCTACTTGTTAAATACTCAAGAGTCGAGGCTGCGTTTGGGCATTGGCTCTGTCCCAGTTTGGTGCTTTGAGAGGCAGCAATGCCTCCAGCCTCTGTCCTGTCCCTCTTCAGTCCAGAATGTGTTTGCTGCCCTCAGGTGGCCTCCATCAGGGCAGCCAGTGGGCTCGGTCTGAAATAGCACCTGGACTGTAACATTACAGAAATAGATCTATTTTCAGTCAAGACCACCAAAATGTTATTTATTTAGTTATTTGTACAGGATTTGCCTTCAGTTTTCCTTTTTATGCTAAAGTTATTAGCCATCCACAACCAAAAAAAAATTCAAAATAAACACGCAGAGAGGATCATTGTACATTAAATGTATATTACCTCATCGACTGTTTGTTCAGTAAACCAAGCTGGCCACTCTCCCACATCCGCAAGATGGCGACCAAAGGGTTCTGTCTGTTTCTCTGGCCCTCTGTGGGCCCTGGCTCTCCGGTGTAGCCTTCTGAGTGTTGCCGCCATGTACTTGGGTGTGGTCTTTGAACGTATGTTATCATTCCAACTGCTTTCCTTAGTCTGCGTCGGTTTACACGTCTGCCCACATTTCTCTGTACTCTTTGTGTCTGTGACTCTGTTGTGGCGATTTAATATTCAGTTTAATTCAGATGAATAGAGGTAGCGGGTGGTATGGGGGATGAAGTGCTAGTCAGGAAGCCCTGATTAGACAGTTAAGGAGCTGTGTGACTCTGGGCCAGTCATTGAACCCGTGCCTGCCTCAGTTTCCTCAGCTGTAAAATGGGATGATCACAGCACCCACCTCGTAGGGTGATTGTGAGGATGAAATGAGACAGTATTTGGAACAGCCCTGGCACACAGTAGGGGCCATAGAAATGCCCGTTACTTCCCATTCCCATCTGAAGGGCGGTAGGGTGGGAGCAGATGGAGCATCGGCCCCTGAGACAGGAAGACCCAGCTTCCAGGCCCACCTCTCACACATCCTTCCTATGTGTAGGCAAGTCCCAGAGCCTGTCCGTGCCCTCAGCACATCTCTGCAAAGCAGGCCTTCCTAGAGGGAGTTTCCTTGCTATCCCAACTTCTCTCAGATTGTTTTGGACTCAAGACGCCTTTGTATTGTGAACTCACAAAGAGCTTTTGTTTCTGTGGGTTATGTCTACCAACAGGCTTGAGTCAGCTTCTACTGGCTCGCTGGAGCCGATTGTTAAATTTTCAGGAAGTCTCATGAGCTGGTTGTTAAACTGCCATTACTAAAAATTAAATTATATAAACATGCATATATTAAAATAAAGGTAACAAATAATCAAAACTCATCACTTCCTAATTATTTGCTAATTACTATTGCTTATGCATTTGAGGTTATTTTCATTTATTTGCATGGTGAAGATAGCACATAATGTGTGCTACTTAGGATGCATCTCTTCCCAGTTCCATGTTTGGTGATATGTATGTATGCATACTTCCCCCTCCCCTTCCACAGAGAGCTGGTGGTTAAACATTTACCAGCACATCACTGGCACTACTTATCAGTATCATATTAGAAATTAAAACTGATGAAATTTGAAAATATTCATTTTTAAAAAGCAATTATAAGCCCATTACATATAACATGGTTTTTTTTAAATAAACAGGTTTTTTTTTCCAAGTACACGTAAAGATAGTTTTCAACGTTCATTTTTCTTATAAGACTTTGAGTTTCTAACTTTTCTCCCTCCCCAAGACGGCACGCAATCTGATACAGGTTATATACGTGTGCCATCACATATAACATGTTTTTAATGAAAAATAACTTTTCCACCACAATTAGTGAGGATGGTATTGTCTTATGTATTTTTTCAGGTTTCTTCAGTGTCTGATTTGTAGAAGATTTAGCTGGATTCTCATATTGCTTCTGCGTTCACTCTTATGATGTGCTGTTTTGCATGGAGCGTAGGAAGAGAGTCTGACTTCACGAGATTTGTAGTTGGAAAGGAAGGAGTATCTCAATAGGCAGATAACCTCTTACTATTATTATGAAAATAGTCTTGTCCTTACAGATGTTATTGTTGTTTGCCCTTCGATCTCGATGAGGCCCATGACACCAGGGAGTTGGTGCCATGATATGCAAGTGAATTGGAAGGATTCGGGGGACCCAGAGGTTCACTGACCACACTTTGAGAACTTCTGCCCACTGCTAGGTCCAGTCCCTAAACATTTACTAAGCACCTACCATGTGCAGAACACTGCAGAGGAAAAGGGCACACACAAAACCATTTTTCTTCTAAAGGAGTTTACATTCTACCGGGGAGGTAAAACCCATTGAGACAAGTCAGTTCATGCTAATTTGATGAGGGACGAATGTTACCAGTGGGCAGGATCAGAAGGACCTGCATCGGAGGGGGCCCCTTTGGTAAACCTCAGAGGAGGAAGCCGGGTTCCGGGCTACGTGTGAAGGAGGGCACCAGAGCGCTTCCTGCAGGATGGCCTGGCTGTCCTGAAGCATGGCAGAAGGGTGGAAGGCAGCAACATCAGCCCACCGAGCTCCCTGATCCCAGGATTCCTAGCCCAGGAGGCAGGGAGGGCTGCCTAGCCAGCAGAGCTCAGAGACCTGCCCCCCGGGCTCGTGACAGGCTCATAGACCAGGGGAGTGAGTGGTGCCCATGAACCTCACAGACAGGCGCAGGCATTATTATCCCATCCATCAAAGGTGAAGTGTTCAGAGCACGTTGGGGGTTTGCTTCCTATTGTGGAGGGCACCCCATCCTCACAGTCCCCAGGCTCACACCCTTGGAGTCACCCTGGATCTTCGCCATCTCTTATTCCCCATGTCGGAGCCATTGCCAGGACCTGTAGAGTTCCCCTCTGCTACGTGTCTCCAGTACGCCTCTGATGCTGCCCTAGCCTGCTGCAGACACCTCACGCCTGGCCTATTGCACCAGCCTGTAGGGGGAGTCTGCCTGTCATCAGGTCTTTCCCCCTCCAGTCCATCCCCCATTCAGCTACTAATGTTATTTTCTAAAGCCCAGGTCCAACCATGTCACCACACCTTCAACTCCGGTGACTCCTTACCACTCCCCAGGGTGGGGAAAAGCTGCCTATAAAACATGGGAGTTTAGTTGGGACTTGAAGGAAGCCAGGGAAGTCTGTAGGTGCAGACAAGGAGGGGGAGTGTTCCAGGTGTGGGGGACAGCCAGAGAAAAGGCCAGGAGTCAGAAGCTAGTGTCCTAAGTCCTCTACAGAGCAAACTTGCACGTGGTTTGGGCTTTGTACAAACCCAAAGGGAATTTGCAAACATCTCGCTGTCCCCTGAGCTCTTACCTTTGCACTGATCGATAAATGCTTATTAACCAGTCAGTCAAGCAATTATTAAGCACGTGCCAGAGATATGAATACAAAAATGAAGCATTCCTCACTCTCTGCTCTCGGAGCTCAGGTCGTATTGAGGGAGGTAATATGTACCTGAAGATCTCATTAGCATAGGCAAGTCCCAGGGGAGGAGCTAGATAGTATAGCTTATACATATAAAGAGTATATTCGTGATCTAATAGCAATATGATGATTTCATGTATGTTTATAATAGTGTTTCTATTTGTTATTTTTATTTATATTTATTTATATAATAGCATTTATTTGTTATTTTTAATATAGCATTTAAATATATTCAATATTTATAATAGAAATATATTATTTAATATAATATGTTAATATTTAATATATTATTTAATATATTAAAATATAGTTATTATTACATAGCAATTTAAGGCTCGTAAAGTGCTTTACAAATATTTGACCCTCACAACCACCATGAGAAGTAGGTGCTATTATCTCTTACAGAGGAGGAAACTGAGGCAGGCAGACAGGCTCACTCACACCAGCAGTGAGCGTCTGAGGCTGGATACGAATTCAGGTCTTCCTGACAGGCCTGGCCCTCTATCCACTGCACTACCTAGCTGCTTAATACAGAATTGTGGTTTGTCCTTCGTTCTTGAAGAGGACCATGACATCATGGAGGTGATGCCATGACTTGCAAGTGAATTGGATTTAAGTGAGGCAGGGCAATGCTGAGTCACCAGCCTCACTTTCTCCTTAGGAGCCATTTGGGTCCCAGTGGCCAGATACAGATCAGGGTGACTGGAGATGGCCCATTAATACAGAAGAGATACAACATAAAGGCAAGGTGGTTTAGGGAAGGGGGAGAGCGGAAGCTGGGAGGATCAGGAAAGGAAGGCTTCTGTTAGAACGCAATGATCCAGTGGAATCTTGAGGGAAGCCAGGGATTCTTTGAGGTCCAGTGAGAAGGGAGTGCGTTCTGGCCATGGAATGCCTGGGTGCCCCCAAGCTAGATGCCTCTGCAAAAGAAGAGGAAAGAAAGTTGAGACGGCCAGAAATCCATGGGAGATGAAAACGGATTTCTGTGTTCCTGAACCTTGGTTTGAAGAATTGCCCACACCAGGCTTCTGGCTCTCCAGACCTGACTGGACCTTCCCTTGAAGGCCAGCCCCCTTTTCTTAACTCCTTATGTGTTCATCCATTACAGTGAAGCTCCTTCAGGGCAGGGACTGTATTTTCACTTTTATTGCGCTCCACCCCTTACCACAGTTACTAGCTCTTAGTAGGGGTTTAATGCTCTGTCTAAATCTATTTGTCTGTCCATCCATCCATCCACCCACCTACCCACCCACCCATCCATCCATATACCCATCCATCCACCCACCCACCCATCCACCCACTCACCCTTCTACTCATCCACACACCCATCCATCTATCCATCCATCTGTCTATCCATCTACCTATCTATCCCTGTCTTTCCTATCTGTCTGTCTTGTCTGTCTGTCTTCCTCTGTCAAGCATGGAGCCAATAGGAAAACCGATGTTTGCTCTTAAATATCTACACAGAGATGCTTCAAGTATAGATCGCCAGAAGGATGAGCTAGAGGTCCCAACACAAGCAAATTTGACACGTTAGGTAAAACTAAGACTTAGTGGGATGTGACCCGAGTCTGGAGTGTGCTTCTGGTTGGAAAGTGGATCTGCCTTATTATAAAGATCTGTGTATAAGTGGAGGAGGGGAGAGACATTTAATGAAATCAAAATGCA